ATATGTCATCCATGGACACCATAAGCCACTACCATGTTGACCAATGGCCCATATCTCATCCATCGACACCATTAGCCATTACCATGTGGACCAATGGACTACATGTCATCCATCGACACCATAAGCCATTACTATGTTGACTAATGGCCCATATATCATCCATGGACACCATAAGCCACTACCATGTTGACCAATGGCCCATATGTCATCCATATGTCAACCATAGACACCATAAGCCATTACCATGTGGACCAATGGCCCATATGTCATCCATAGACACCATAAGCCATTACCATGTAAACTAGTGGCCCAGATGGCATCCATGGACACCATAAGCCACTACCATGTTGACCAATGGCCCATATGTCATCCATATGTTCGTCATGGACGCCATAACCCATTACCATGTGGACCAATGACCCATATGTCATCCATGGACACCATAAGCCATTACCATGCTGACCAATGGCCTATATATCATCCATGGACACCATAAGCCACTACCATGTTGACCAATGGCCCATATGTCAACCATGGACACCATAAGCCATTACCATGTGGACCAATGGCCCATATGTCATCCATGGACACCATTAGCCACTACCATGTTGACCAATGGCCCATATGTCAACCATGGACACCATAATCCATTACCATGTGAACCAATCAACCATATATCATCCATGGACACCATAAGCCACTACCATATGGACCAATGGCACATATGTCATCCATGCATACCATAAGCCACTACCATGTTGACCAATGGCCCATAGGTCATTTATATGTACCATGGATACCATACTCCATTGCCATGTGGACCAATCAACCATATGTCATCCATGGGCACCATAAGCCAATACCATGTGGACCAATGGGCCATATGTCATCCATGCACACCATAAGCGCACTACCATGTCGACCAATTGCTCATATGTCATCCATGGAGACCATAAGCCACTACTATATATATTGACATGACCCGTACGTCTTTTGTATATAAATTTCAGTTTAAACACAAAAGCATAAAGATGTATAATTTATTAATGTTTAGTCCTCATATGAAATTTTAAGTTAAAATTATACTATGAACACATTATTAGTCTATGTTCTTTCTTGATGTTCTTTATATGTTTATACCCTATCTATCAATCTGTAACCACTTTAAATAAATTTGAATTACTAAATTTTTAGCGGTAATTAGCACAGTTTGAATTATTTATTAGCGGAGGTTCAAAGTATTTCACAATTTGTTTCCCTCCAACCTACACATGTTTATGTTGCATATTAGGGTAATTAAGTTTAGCGATTAGAAATAGGGTTTAAACTTTCTGTAATCATCATCTCCGGCAGGTATTGATCGAAATCTTTTTTTGTTATACATTTGTGCACTGACTTTGGTGATGTAGGTTGTCACTCATCTAAAATTTATATTTATTTAATTTAGTGTTGTCGTGATGATCGATCGTTTTTTGTTCTCTGATCATCTTCATGTAAATTGGTTTTTATTGTATTCAATAGTTTGCATGCAAAGTAATGCCTTCAAATATAATTTATTTTTATTGTTTGTGTCAAAAAGATGTCGACCTCAAAAGCAAAAGGAACATCCGGTGTGAAGCCAACTAAATTCATTGCACCACAAGTTATGAAATGCAAGAGGATTTTTGCTGCAAAATTCGAAAATAGACGGTCACAAGATGAAGAAATCAACTTCCCAATACCACCAACCACATTAAAATCGATTGAGAAGTAGTGGTCAGAATTCAGCATCTTCTGGGTTTCTAGACCAGTTAGCACATGTTCGTATCGAATTTCTTGCAAGTATTACTTCTACTTTGCGTTTTTTTTGCTCAATTGATTTATTTTCTCTGTTGAAATTCTTTTTCATATGTTTTGCGTGCTGTTATACTGGTTGTATTTGTTTGCTGCCCTATTTTGCATTTTTCATGTACTTCATGTTTCTATTGCTCGATTGGAATACATCTAATTACACGAGTTCATTGAAGTTACTACTTTCATATGTACCTTGTGGAACATTGATATGCATACAACCTGGTTTGTTTAAATGCCTAAGCGAGGGTACAGTGGCCATGACATCTTTATTAGTATTGTTATGCTTGATCTATATTAATGTATTACATCTTTCATGACATGTTTGTGTTAGTGTGTGTAGAGAAAGGGAGTGATGGAATGAGTCAATTATTTAACTTTCTTTAAAACATGAATGTTAATGAGATAATTATGGAGTTTATATATTTATTTTTGTTAATGCAGATGCTTGCTGCTTTTTTTAGTTTCAAATGTTGGTGGAGTCAACAATTTACAATACCATCGAAAGGGTCAATGGTATTGTATATTAGCATGTAGGGATATCATTCTTAATTGGTTTCATTACAGATGTTTGGATATTTTTTTGCTCAGGTGGTTTCATCAAAATTTGTGGGTTTTGATTGGATCCTATATTAAATTTGTTTGTTATTCTATGCAGGTAATTGCTTTATTGTTTTGATGTTTTTTTTGGTGAAGCCCCAAAAGTTAATGTTGTTTTGCTATATGTCCCCAACATGGAGTAGGTTTGGTTGCTGTTAAATTTAGAAGTGTCAATTGATTTTTAGGTGGTTGCTATTAGTGTTATTCCATTTACATTCCTGCTAGATGCTAATTGTATTTTATTTGTATTTGGCTCATTTGTAAAGGTGATTCCGATGATTAACAGTACAATGGAACTATGTTATATTTCGGAAACAAAATGGTGAATTAGAAGAATTGAGAGAGTTTCCAAGTAAACAAAAAGAGGAAAATGAAGAACTTATGGAAATAATGAAAGCCAAAGATCAACAACACAACACAAAACACAAGCAGCTTGAATGAGAACTACAATCGGCAAAGAAAATTGTTAAGGCTTTTAAAGAGCTGCAAAAATAGTAGATAATAGAGGTTTGATTTGTTTATCTCAAAGTATTAATTTTAGATTAACCACACTTCATTTTCCATGTAATACATATTTATTGTTTTATTTTATGATATAAATGTTGTTTAATTCTTTTTAATTTTGTTTATATATATTATTACAAAATAATTAGGATTTAATTTGTAAATTAATTGTCCATTCGTAGCTATCCAGCTTTGCAACGAAAATTTATCGACGTTATTTTCAATGGAATCTACATGTAATATAAACCATGGATTTTGTTAGGAATTCATTACAACGGGTTTAGCTAGAGATTTATCACTACGGATTTTGCTAGGGATTCATCACAACAGTTTTAGCTAGGGATTCATCACAATGGATTTAGCTAGGGATTCATCACCATGGATTTAGCTAGTAGGGATTCATCACCACGGATTTAGCTAGGGATTCATCACCACGGATTTAGCTAGGGATTCATCACCATGGATTTTTCTAGGGATTCATCACCACAGATTTTGCTAGGGATTAACTACAACGAAATTTATGACGAAAGAACTACCACGGAATTTGTGATGGAAACCTACTACGGTGTACACGACGAAATACCATCTACCACGGATTTCATTCCATTGTAACAATTGCTACAGAATTGTCGTTTTCATTGCAAACCCCTCGCAACGGCGTTTTTAGGGACGAAAATAGTTCGTTGCAAATTCCATCACTATTCGTCTTTTGCAACGAAATTTCAGCTTTTCGCAATGGATTCCTTCCGTAGCAAAATCACGTTTTTCTTGTGGTGTACCTATGATTTTTATGCTAGTTAGGACAATGCTTTGGAAAATGAAATTGCATTTATAATTAGAGAAAACATAGATCCAAAGCATTTAGGGTTGTATGTGAACTATAAGGTTGTTAGAGTGCTCAAAACCCATCAATAAGGAGAAGATACAGAGCTGTCACAACATCAGGAGCTGCACGTGCCTCCTCTATAGTCATCTGAAAAGCCTTGATCCTCACTGTAGGCGCCTCTGTCCGGCCCTGACGGCCATCGGTAATCCTCAATATCGTAGGAGCGGGTGTCGCCACCTATCCTACTGTTGCTAAACTCGGGCACTGGGACCTCTTGTGGCCCTCTGATTGCACTAGAGGAAATCATATCAGGTACTATGGTGGTGGTGGTGGTAGCAGTATAGTCCCTGCTGACATGACCAGTTTAGCCGCACATAAAGCAGCCCGAACGGCTGTGTCCCCGCTGGCTCCTCGATCTATGATCTGATACCTTGGGATTTTTGCACGAGCTCCTTGTCTGAAAACCCTCTGGTTTCCTCTTCTTCTCCATCTCCAAATCTAGCTCCCTTTCCCGAGCCCTCGCTATCATATCCTCTAGT